GGTACAGGGTATAATAAAACAAGAAAGGAATGCTAAAGTCGAGCAGGCTCAACTCTTAAATACCCTGTACCACCCCACAAAAAAGTAATTAAATTAATTAATTAATTTAATTAAATTAATTAACTAAATTAATTTAATTAATTAACTAAATATTAACTAATTAAATATAAAATATTCCATGCATGCATACATACATTTACAATTACATCAGAATCGTGTCTATGCGTGTTTGTGTACTTGTACATATGTATGTATGTGTGCATTGAGCCTGGTTATATGGCTATAACTTTCTTTCCGATCATTCTATCAGAATGAGACTTGGTATACGGTTATATAATTACTAACCTAATGTGACTACCAAATTTTAGTTCAAAATTCCAAGAATTACGGGAGTTATAGAAAATCGTTAATAGGGGGGGAGTGGGGGGGTGGATCAGAAAAAATGAACAAACTCGTCCTTTCTCGGTCTCAGGAGAATCTGTATACCAAGTTTGGTTATTCTAGCTCTTATACTTTCGGAGATCCTTGCGTTCATACAGACAGACAGACGGACAGACGGACATGGCTATATCGACTCGGCTTGTCATGCTGATCAAGAATATATATACTTTGTGGGGTCTACCAAGCCTCCTTCTGTGTGTTCCATGTGCACTCGCACTAAACTAATATACCCTTGTACCCTTTGGGTACAGGGTATAAAAATGACCAGCAAGCACCTCACAAATGTTTATACTCTGTACATGAAATGTACAAGAGTATATTAGGTTTTCGGGAGCTGAAAATGTAACAGGCAGAAGGAGGCGTGGCAGAGCCCACAAAGTATATATATTCGTGATCAGCGTGACAAGACGAGTCGATCTAGCCCTGTCTGTCCGTCTGTCCGATGCGTTATGTGTGTATTCTATACGAGTTTGTTTTATTTTTTTGATTTTCCCCCACTTCCCCCCTATGGGGGTTTTCCCGATTTTCCATTCGTATAATCGCCTATATCTCAGAGACTATAAGACCTAGGCACACCATATTTTAGTCCAAGATGCCTTGTGTGAATACGCAGAAAATGTATATTTTGGAATTTCCCTCCCTCCCCCCTCTCCCACGCAAATGCGATGTTCTCTAACTCCCGTAATTCTTGGAATTTCGAACTAAAATTTTGCAAATACCCCCAGTTAGTAATTATGTGTCCGTATGCCAAGTTTCACTATGATAGACCGATTTAACAAGAAGTTATAGCCATAAATATATTTGCTGCTGCAGCGCTGCTCAAGCGCTGCCCGCGGCTGTTGTTGATGTTGCTGTTTGGTTGACTGCGAAAATGCTTACACAGACACGAATAGATGCACATAGGCATACATACACTCACACAGACGCAATTGTGCAATTATAAACCCTTTACGTGAGTTCGAATACCGAGAGAGGTAAAATCGATCAAATTTTGTTTTTTTTTAATTTTCTTAATTTGTTTATTTTCTATAATTATTGTAAACATATGTACAGAGTATTTCAAAGTCGGGACACCCGACTTTAGCTTTTTTACTTGTTTTTTTAATTTCTTAATTTTTTTTATTTTCTATAATTATTGTAAACATATGTACAGAGTATTTCAAAGTCGGGACACCCGACTTTAGCTTTTTTACTTGTAACTAGCTTTAAGAAACGTAATGAAATTTGTACCTCATAATTAAATCCAAAACAAAACTAGTCTCTAAGAAAAGAAATACAGTTCAAAATTAGATTTAAAAAAAAAAACAGTAACATGGTAGCCGACTGTGGCAGAAGAATCTCTGCCATTAGTGAAGGTAGTACTTCTGTGGAGGACAACACCAAGTAGATGCAAAACGAAGACCGAGGACGGCCTTCACTTAGCTAGAGGAGAAGTTACCACCAGCAAAGAAATGTCTAGAACGACGTACCGCTGCTTCTGCTGTGAGTGAGGCATCGGCGCTGACACCGCCTCTGTCACCGGCGCTGGCACTGGCGTTGCAATGACGTCACATCGTCGCTGGCACGGCTTCTGCCACTGGCGCTGCAGCGGCGTTACACCGGCGCGGCAGCGTCCCGAATTTACAATAAAATTGCATAGTAATTCACAACTGGTTTAAGCTATCCTAATTAGACTAGGGCACTCAAGTGCTTGGTTAAACCAGTTCCTGAAGTGATCAGATATTAATAGTGGATAATAGTAACTAATTAAATAATAAAGAGATGTAAAAGGAGGAAACGAAATACACTCTTCTTATCTATTAATATAAAACAGTTTGTCCTGACTGACTGATGGGTGATCAACCCACAGCCCAAACGGTAAAGGCTAGGAAGCTGAAATTTGGACTCAAGTATCCTTTTATAGTCTAGGTCCCCACTAAGAAGGGATTTTGGAAAACTCGAGCTCCAAAGGGGGGAAAACAGGCTCCAACGTTTGTATGAAAAATCTACAGTTTTCATTTGATTAACTTCAAACTTAGTTTGTATACTCTCAGAACAATTCCAAGAAAATATGGGCCTAAAATATGGTAGTTTTCCTGTAAAAAAATGTTGGGGCACAAAAGCAAACCGCGTCAACAGCCCACACGGTAAAAGCTAGGATGCTGAAATTTGGGCTCAAGTATCCTATCATGGTGTAGATGCGCACTAAGAAGGGATTTTGAAAAATTCGAGCTCCAAAGTTTGTTTGAAAAATCCGCATTTTTTAGCCGATCGACATAAAACTTGGTTTCTGAAATCAATAAAAGAATACAAAGAAAACTGCTTACTCGGTTTTTTACATTTATTGTTGGAGCTTGAATTATTGGGGTTTTCTTGGGGCCCACACGGTAAAAGCTAGGATGCTGAAATTTGGGGTCAAGTATCCTATCATAGTGTAAATGTGTATTAAGAAGAGATTTTGGAAAATTCGAGCTCCAAAGGGGGAAAAGTAGCTCCAAAGTTTGTTTGAAAAATCCGCATTTTTCAACCGATCGGCTTAAAACTTAGTTTCTAAAATCCATTGAAGAATACAAACAAAACTGCATACTTAGATTTGTGTTGGAGCTTGAATTATTGGGGTTTTAATATTTATTCACTATTTCAAATGAAAAGTTTGTGTTATAAATTTAGTCCGATCGATTTAAAATTTGGGTAATGTAATCTACGTAACTAGCTACGGAGCTACGCATATTCTGCTTCGCATTGCGGGCAGATGTATGTATGTATATGATTTGTTCTTATTGATTTCAATAAATAATTAGATTTTATTATTTAAATATTCTGCTTATTGCATTCAAACTTCGATATTTTGATGGTATCGGTGGCTTCAACTATCGAAAGTTTTACTCTAGCAAATTGAGATGAGAATTGTCAGTGCTTTTTGATCGTGGCTCATCGCTGCACGGCATTGACACGAGTGCCGTGTTTCATATTCCGAGTTTGTGCGTGACCGTATTGACTCAATATGGCACGAAAAGACTCAAATGTGAATTTAAAATTAGGATATACCCTTATAATTATTCCCCTTATTTGCACATAGTCTATCTTAAAACGTTGCGTTATCTCTATATATAAAACAGTGTCCTGACTAATTGGTGATCAACGCACAGCCCAAACGGTAAAAGATGAAATTTGAACTCAAGTATCCTTTCATAGTATCCATCATAGTGTAAGAGAACACTAAGAAAGGCTTTTGGAAAATTCTAGCTCCAAAGGGGGGAAAACGAGCTTTAAAAAATATTAGTTATAGTGGTCATGTTCGTTTAACGAAATAGTTTGGCAAGAACAGAAAATGTTCATTTAAATACCTTAAATGCCTTCCTACTGGTAACTTATAAGGTGAAAACATATGGGTAGGTTATGCACACACAAAATAAATACAATTGGAAACATTATATTGAGCCGGGTTAAGACGGGCAATACCTGCTAGTAACTTATATGTGCAATTTTACACCCCTTAACGTGAGTTCAAATACCGAGAGAGGTAAAATCGATTAATATATTTTTTTTCATTTTCTAAATTTTTTTAATTTCTATGATTATTGTAAACATATGTACAGAGTATTTCGTTGTCCTTTAGCTTTTTTACTTGTTTTTATTTATTTCATTAATTAATTCAATTTTTTTTAAATATATATTTTCCTTTTTTTGTGGAGATTACAGGTTATTTTACTGTGGGGCTTGCTCGACTGTAGCGTTCTCTCTTGTTTTATTCTGATGCACTAGGGGTGCATCCTCCCCCGTAATTCGTGATTTTTCCATAACTCCAGTAATTCTTGGAATTTGTTGTTGTTGCTGCTTTGGTTCAACTTTGTGCTGCATACGCATATAAACACGCACAGACACGATTCCGATGTAAATGTATGCTGTTGAAACTGTACATGAACATGTCTCCACTATCGTATATATGTATTGAATAATTTGTAATTAATTTTATTAAATAATTTAACTAATATATATTTTTAAATTAATTAAAATTGTTCTTTTTTTTTGTCCTTTTTGGTGGGAGGTACAGGGTATTTAAGAGTTGACCCTGCTCGAATTTAGAATTCCTTTCTTGTTTAATATTTATAATATTATTCTACTTGTCTTTTTTACAGTTTAGCACTCATGGTCGCTTTAACGAACCCACAGTCGATTCAGTATTATAAGACAAAACACCATACAATGGAACATTTAACGCTCGGCCTCTATACCAAACATTAAGCATTTCTGGGCGATGAGCAGGAAGCCTGGATTAATGCGTAACTTAAAAAAAAAAAAAAACATATTTACAAACAAGCATAATTCTGAATTTGATGTATTGTGTTTTCTATTTAGTTAATTACATGTTTATTTTTTGAACAAAAGGCCCGTTTTTTTCGACTCTTTCAATAGGCTCTTACCAACACTCCCAGTCTCACCCACACGTATCCATTTTTGTGCATGTCGTCCTCGGTCTCAAAATCCTATTCACCACTTAATTGGCCAACTTGTATGTACTACTTCCGAAGCGAATGCAACGGAGCATTTTGCATAAAAACAAGCAATTACTGCGCAACATGGACAAAGGTTTGCCCACGACAAGTTCAATAATGAGAAATTGCCACGCTAATCCAACTGCCGCCTCAATCGCACGTTGCGTAGTGCCGTCATCACTGAGTGCGTTGCAGCGGGCTTCGGTTGTCTGTCCCTCCTCAGAGAAACAGGTACAAACAGAGGAAATCAGAGACGAACAGTTTCTCAGCGCGGCCCTGCGAAAATGCACGAAAAACTGCCACAAGCCAAGCCAGATTGCTCACAGTGAGCCCGATGACATACTTGCTTCTCCCATTGAATGCACTAACAGCAACATTCGCCGCACGGCCTCTTCTATCGAGCTAGACAGAATGCCCGTACAGCGCTGCAGCTACCAGTCGGAACGGTACACACTGCAACCACCGGTAGCTGGTGTTGCGGGCATTGTGCCTGGTACATTGAACCAGTTCAACTGCTGGATTCCATTGCGCCAATCTAATAGAGGTCGGGACAACGATGGTCCAGTCATTTTGTCTGCTGATCGTAGCTCTAAATGCTCATCCACCTGGGACAAATGTTCGCCTCAAGTATTTCAGATGCTTATACCAGAGATTACAGATGTAGACCCTGAACCGCAGCTAAACGAGCCATTGAGTTCTCGCTCCGTGACCTCACAGACCTCCAAGCGCAGTGCGCAGATTCAAACCGAACTTACGCAGACGAGTCCAATAGCGGAGCACGAAGGGGTAACTATTGAGTTCCAGTTGCCGAAGAAACCAATCGGTGAAGGACATATGCTACTTACTGAAGAGCAGCGCATACTGCTCCTAGAGACTGCACGAAACCGCAAGCGTCAACTGAACATGGAATATAACCGACTGCCTTTGTCGATGAGCACGTTACGCGTGCGCAATCTTAAGATTCAGCTAGAGCAGCAACTGGACCTAGTCGAGAACGATTTGCGGATGCTTTCCGGCTCTAAAGTCTATGTTATTTGGCCAACACCAGAACACACGTCCTTCCCTAAAATTATAGACTTTTGATTTGTACTGAAATGGTCTTCGAATAAAACCTACACTGATAAAAAAATGCAACGAAATTTAAATATTTACACGTAGATTTAACTATTTTTACCATCGATTTTTCACTACAGTGTGTTTTAGTAAATATGAAGTGTGCACACTTAATTTTTTAATTTAATATATCGTAGTAAATTTGAAGTGTCAGCACTTCAATCTAAAGTGTTGACATATTCAAATTAAAATGTAAACATATTAATTATGAATACTAGATGTGAACATATTAAAATCCAAATGTGAACATATTAAGATCCAATTAAAATAGTAATTATGAATATGATCCATATTCAATATTAACTATTTTCATTTTAGATTTTAATATTTTTAATATTTGATTCAAAGTGTTCCCATAGTCAAATTAAACAATTTCATATTAAGAATAAATTATCGATTTATTTACTATCGATAATCGACTTTTTATTTTAATTCAAACTCAACTTAGTTTAATTTTTAGAGTACATGATAATAATAGTAATAACAATAATAGAATATAAATAGATCTGCATTTTACTACTTTTACCGTTGTTATTCAAATATACATGCACTGGGTGGCTTGTAAAATATTCGATATCCTTAATAATTAATGTTCGATCTTTGCGGCCAACTTCATAAGCTTGCATATGTTTACAAAATCGTTCAACTTTTATTTCATTACAAGCCGCGTAGATTTGAGCTTCTTCATAAAAAAAGAAAAGCAACTTAAACAATTTCATATTATTTTCGTTATTCCCTAAATAATAGTTTTTTTTATACAAAACTCCTTTAAATTCTAAATTTTCACAATATTTTAAATGATTGGACTTAAACAATTTTGAGTAGCATACATTTTCCAAACATTGTATGTCTGTTATAGATTTGTCTGTAAAGCTATACTTATCAAATAATGGTGGAATACCTGACTCATAACATAGAAGGCAAGATGAAAAATGAAGGCACTCTTTTATAGCTACCGATCGACATTCATTTTTTCTCGATGTAATTGAAGCTAAATATACTTTAAATGCTCTATGTTTTGCCTCAAACCGCATAACCCATGCATATTTCAAAGGCCCGCATTTTAAAATAGCTGTAGGGTAATGCACCAGAAAATGGTGTTTAGGTTTTAGCGTAGGTCCATACAAATTCACATATAGCATGGTGCACTTTTTTTTTATTTCTAAGTTTTTTAAATCTTTTGTTGTAAATTTATTTTGAAACAGAATGTCAATAATTTCCAAAAGTTTTGTAAATAAAATCCAATGCTGATTACTTTCTGGAATCAGATCTCCGATTATTAAAGGCAACAAGTAAAAAAGCTAAAGTCGGGTGTCCCGACTTTGAAATACTCTGTACATATGTTTAGAATAAATATAGAAATTAAAAAAAATTAAGAAAATAAACAAAAAAAATTTGATCGATTTTACCTCTCTCGGTATTCGAACTCACGTAAAGGGTGTATAATTGAACATTTACATAGCAATTGCGTCTGTGTGAGTGTATGTATGCCTATGCGCATCAATTCGTGTCTGTGTAAGCATTTTCGCAGTCAACCAAACAGCAACATCAACAACAGCCGCGGGCAGCGCTTGAGCAGCGCTGCAGCAGCGCTGCATCAGCAAATATATTTATGGCTATAACTTCTTGTTAAATCGGTCTATCATAATGAAATTTGGCATACGGACACATAATAACCAACTGGGGGTATTTCCAAAATTTTAGTTTGAAATTCCAAGAATTACGGGAGTTACGATTTGTGGGGTAGAGGGGGGAGGGAGGGAAATTCCAAAATATACATTTTCTGCGTATTCACATAAGGCATCTGGGACTAAAATTTGGTGTTCCTAGGTCTTATAGTCTCCGAGATATAGGCGATTATACGAATGGAAAATCGGGAAAACCCCCATAGGGGGGAAGTGGGGGGGAAAATCTAAAAAATAAAACAAACTCGTAAAGAATACACACATAACGCATCAAATTTGGTGTCTCTATCTCTTATAGTCTCTGAGATCCAGGTGTTCATACGGACGGACAGACGGACAGACAGACAGACAGGGCTAGATCGACTCGTCTCGTCATGCTGATCAAGAATATATATACTTTGTGGGGTCTGCCACGCCTCCTTCTGCCTGTTACATTTTTCAGCTCCCGCAAACCTAATATACTCTTGTACATTTCATGTACAGAGTATAACAAGTAAAAAAGCTAAAGTCGGGTGTCCCGACTTTGAAATACTCCGTACATATGTTTACAATAATTATAGAAAACAAGTACAAAAGCTAAAGTCGGGTGTCCCGACTTTGAAATACTCTGTACATATGTTTACAATAATTATAGAAAATAAAAAAATTAAGAAAATAAAAAAAAAATTTGATCGATTTTACCTCTCTCGGTATTCGAACTCACGTAAAGGGTGTATAATTGCACATTTACATAGCAATTGCGTCTGTGTGAGTGTATGTATGCCTATGCGCATCTATTCGTGTCTGTGTAAGCATTTTCGCAGTCAACCAAACAGCAACATCAACAACAGCCGCGGGCAGCGCTTGAGCAGCGTTGCATCAGCAAATATATTTATGGCTATAACTTCTTGTTAAATCGGTCTATCATAATGAAATTTGGCATACGGACACATAATAACCAACTGGGGGTATTTCCAAAATTTTAGTTCGAAATTCCAAGAATTACGGGAGTTACGATTTGTGGGGTAGAGGGGGGAGGGAGGGGAATTCCAAAATATACATTTTCTGCGTATTCACATAAGGCATCTGGGACTAAAATTTGGTGTTCCTAGGTCTTATAGTCTCCGAGATATAGGCGATTATACGAATGGAAAATCGGGAAAACCCCCATAGGGGGGAAGCGGGGGGGAAAATCAAAAAAATAAAACAAACTCGTATAGAATACACACATAACGCATATTTGTGCAAAATTTGGTGTCTCTATCTCTTATAGTCTCTGAGATCCAGGTGTTCATACGGACGGACAGACGGACAGACAGACAGACAGGGCTAGATCGACTCGTCTCGTCATGCTGATCAAGAATATATATACTTTGTGGGGTCTGCCACGCCTCCTTCTGCCTGTTACATTTTTCAGCTCCCGCAAACCTAATATACTCTTGTACATTTCATGTACAGAGTATAATAAAACAAGTACAAAAGCTAAAGTCGGGTGTCCCGACTTTGAAATACTCTGTACATATGTTTACAATAATTATAGAAAATAAAAAAATTAAGAAAATAAAAAAAAAAATTTGATCGATTTTACCTCTCCCGGTATTCGAACTCACGTAAAGGGTGTATAATTGCACATTTACATAGCAATTGCGTCTGTGTGAGTGTATGTATGCCTATGCGCATCTATTCGTGTCTGTGTAAGCATTTTCGCAGTCAACCAAACAGCAACATCAACAACAGCCGCGGGCAGCGCTTGAGCAGCGCTGCAGCAGCGCTGCATCAGCAAATATATTTATGGCTATAACTTCTTGTTAAATCGGTCTATCATAATGAAATTTGGCATACGGACACATAATAACCAACTGGGGGTATTTCCAAAATTTTAGTTCGAAATTCCAAGAATTACGGGAGTTACGATTTGTGGGGTAGAGGGGGGAGGGAGGGGAATTCCAAAATATACATTTTCTGCGTATTCACATAAGGCATCTGGGACTAAAATTTGGTGTTCCTAGGTCTTATAGTCTCCGAGATATAGGCGATTATACGAATGGAAAATCGGGAAAACCCCAATAGGGGGGAAGTGGGGGGGAAAATCAAAAAAATAAAACAAACTCGTATAGAATACACACATAACGCATATTTGTGCAAAATTTGGTGTCTCTATCTCTTATAGTCTCTGAGATCCAGGTGTTCATACGGACGGACAGACAGACAGACAGGGCTAGATCGACTCGTCTCGTCATGCTGATCAAGAATATATATACTTTGTGGGGTCTGCCACGCCTCCTTCTGCCTGTTACATTTTTCAGCTCCCGCAAACCTAATATACTCTTGTACATTTCATGTACAGAGTATAAAAACTTAGCGAAACAAAATTTTTTTGAAATACGTCTGGTCTTCGATTAGTATTAAAAACACACTTCTGCTTAGTTTGATGATTTTTATTCAATTGGATTGTATGTATAAAATGTTCTTAGCCTAAAGGCAGCGGCAGAGCAGCTTTATGTATATATGCTTATATATAACGTAAGAGAGTGGTATGCATATATGTCTCATGAGCGGTCAATGCATGAGAATGCTGACGCGGCTAATTGCGCCAGCTACTTTCAAGTCATTGCACTTGAAAGTGTCGCTGTTAAATTATGTTTATGCAGCAACAAAGTGTTGCTGTTGTATATATTTGACGGGCACTGGATACAGTGCACTCTCGACATATGCGCATACTACATCTCCCTCCTTTTGAAAAATGACGTAACATAGTGTAGTTATTTTTACTTAAAATTATACATTACGTACTAATAAGTATAATTTGGAAAATACATTTATTAATTTTTTTTTTATTTAAATATATATATATATATATTTATTATAATTATTATTATTATTATTTTTTGTTTATATATATTTTTATGTATTTATTTATTGTTTATTTTATGGCTGATCGATCATGCATAAAATTTGAGTGTATTCTAGTTCAGGTTAATCTAACTTTTGAATAATTTTAACCGGTTTTTATTTACTATCTGTGGTTTCCTTTTTCCCCCATCTATTTTTATGTTGTTCCTACCTTCTATACTTATAACTTTATAGGGACCTAAATATTTTCTTTCTAGCTTATGGGCTGTATCGTTCTTTAATAGTACTAAAGTTCCTATCTCTAGTTCTATGTCATTTAATTTTTTGTCATATTCTATCTTTCGTTTTTGTTTTTCTAACTCTATTAAAGTTTTCGCTCTTTTATAAGCTGTTTCCAATCTAAACTTAAACTCTTTAGCATAATCATCTATGTTATATATGGGGTCAATTTTT